CAAAAAAAAAAACACAAACACAAACTCAAACCAAACACAACCTACAACACAAGACAACAAAAAGGAACTAAAAAGAAAGGCACTGCCTCCCTCCACAGATACCACCGGTAGACAACAGACAAACCAACACCAAGACAATACCAGGGAATATGACCAACCGCCCGCCACTGCTTAAGGCCTAGCAAGACGGAGTCTCATAACCCGGGACCATCCAGAATGTCGGTCCAAATTACAGTCACGTGAGGCGTAAAGCTACACGGCTCGGCCTCACCGACACTACCCCGAAAATCGCCGCCCCACAACCAATCCCGAAGTGGAAAAACCACAACTCTCAAGCCAGCCCACCCTACACCTACCGAAACCCAGCACCCAAGGTCGAAGCAGGGGAGCCCCACTACCAATCTCACGCCCCGGCCGTCGGCAAGAGAGCAAAGGAGCTGCTGGTGAAGGACAAAAAAAGAAACCGAGTCAAAGCTGCACCAACAGAAGTTACCTCCCCCAACCCTGTCGAAAACAGAAGGACGAAGCAAAATCCGGCGCTGCTCAGCCAGTGCAGAAGCCCGGTCCCGACCAGCCGAAGAGAGGGAGACATCGGATGAGGCAAAGACCCTACCAGGACCGAGATCGGCGCACCCAGCCTCTCCCTCGGTCAGCTCCGCCCCACGACCCGAACCAGAAGAGCCCCGCATCTGAGCCCGACCTCCAGGACCAAATCCTTCAGACGGCCCAACCGAACAGAGCAGGCGACAGATCGGGGTTAGCATAACCGAGGGAGAGCGACGGACATCTGCTGGACGGCCGGCGACCTGCAAGGGAGTTCAAACGGCTACAAAACGAGGAGGCTGCGCTAGGGTTTGAGGAGGAAGAAAGGGGAAAAAATATCAGTTGTGATCAAAAAAATTAACATATTATTTTTTTTTTTTCCGAAACGATAGAATTGTTATATAACTAGCACAAATGTGCAAAAGCCAATGACTGAATACAAAGCAGCTAACAGCTAAATAGACACAACCAATGACTGAAAAAAGGGAGGACAAGTCCAAGGACCGCCTAGAGCCGACCCCAACAGGGTAATAAACTAAAAACACAGACAACACACAAAACCCCAACAGGGTAATACAACACATAACGACCCCAACAGGGTAATGCCCGAGTATAAATCCCAACATGATAATAAAAAAAATTAACATATTAGAATTGACAATATTATTAATGAATTTATGAATTGTAAATATTTAATTAAAATATTAATTAAAAAATTGTAATTAAATATAATATAATATAGGATATACAAATATTTGATATATAATGAGACAGATGATCGAAAAAATTATGTACTTTATATTATGTCTTTTTTGACAAATGTACGGTTAAAAACATGTGAAAGAAAAAGATAAAATTTTAAAAAAATATGAAATATAAGAAATAATATGAATAATTACTAAGTTGTGACACGTACTAATAAATATAAAACAAACTAATAAACAAAAATAATATAATTAATATAACTAAATATAAACCTTCTAAAAATATACTTATTGATGTAATTGAACTGTGTTGTTAAACGCTTGTTAATTTTTTGTTTTTATTAATTTTATTTGTTAAATTGAGGTGATAAGACAATAATAATTTGTACATTTATCCATGTAGATTAGAAAAAAAAATCTTTATTATTCTAATTCTAAATAACTTTTTTATTTACTATATTAGTTTTTTTAATATAATATATAAGTATCATATTGAACATATAAAATAAGAACTATTTTAATTATATAATATTTAATATGTAAGAAATGTAACTTAATTGGTAAATTAATAGGTAATCTTGAGATAAAATAATGAGTGATTTCTGAAGAAAAAAAAAATTATAGAAACTAAAAGGTTCACGTGTTTAATATATTTTTAATAGAAAGATTGTAATCACAATTACTCAATAAATACTACATAAAAAATAATGTTTGAGAGGGCTACAAAAAATTGCTATACTGCAATGAAAAACTCAACGATAAGGTATTCTACTGAAAATTCCCACGAATATATTGCTTTCATTGGAAATTTCATTGGTTATTCCATTAGTGTTCAAATTAACTTACATGAACTTTAGTGGATTCAAAGATTTCAATTACATGAATTTCTATTGGAATTTTTTTTGGACCATATTTCAATCGTTGAAAAAATTGTCATTGGTATTATGAAAAAATTCAATAGAAGTTCCATTGGAAAGATAATTGCAGTGATAGATCCAAAATAATTTCATATTGTGAGCATTATTTGTTTTTTTTTTTGTCGAAACGATAGAGATAATATAGAAGAGCACAAAAGTGCAAATGAACAAATTACAAGACCCCAACAGGGTAATACTAAGGCCCCAACAGGGTAATG